GTCTTACAGCTCTTAGAAGGGCCTCTTTAGTTGATACTTTGGTCAGTCTCATGACTGCATGTCGTGACGTCTTCCTGTTTGGGTTGAATCTCCCAGGGGTCCTCTGAGCTTCTTGAACTTGTATATCAAGATTTTGAGCAAGGCCTGGGAAATTTTCCTCTATTATATCTTCAAACAGCTAGGACAGGGAGCTTTTATCAGGGCTGGGAGCGACCTGCCCGTCCTCCCCTGTAGACAGGACCCAGGACCTGGAATGCCACTCGCCGCCTCAGGGGCTGAGGGGAGGCTGTCTAGGGCTGCAGCACTGCGAGGGACCCAGGTCCCCGGGGAGTGGCAAGGCTTAGGGTCTGGGAATGCCTCTGGGGAGGGAGAGGTACCCTGTCTTTATCGGGTCCGCTATGCCAGGTCCCAAGGCCGGTGTCCGTCCTATCAGCTTCCCACACAGCTCCTCAGTGCCCTTTGTCCCCAACACCCAGCCCCTGCAGCAATGCCGAGAGGACAGGGACAACTGTCACCCAACACTTCCCTTGCCACTTGAGGCCTGAGGTCCTGGGCACTGCCCACTGTTGCTGTCCAAGGGTACAGAACAGCCCACGTTGTCTGTCCCCAACGTGCCCGTGCTTGTGCAAACACAGTCGTCCCCTGCTATCCAGGCGGGATGGGTCCCAGGACACCCCTCCAGGCCTACATGCATGGGTGCTCAAGGCCCTGATACAAAACGGCTCAGTGTTTGCATAAACTTGGGTGCGTCCTCCTTACATCCCCCCACGGTACTCAGAGTCCCTCATGCACCGCAGCTGCCATGCGCGTAGCCCCTGCACTGTGCTGCTTAGGGAACAGTGACAGGAAACCTAGTCTGTCCGTGGTCGGGGCAGACGTGCGGTCACCAGAGGCCTAACGACACGACACACCCCAGCAGCGACGTGACGACTTATGGCATTTCAGCCCCATTATTTTCAGCCACGGGGAACCCGCAGGGAGAGAAGCCACCGCCACCACATTACTGACCTCTCGGCACATGGCCGGGTGTGGCATGCCGCGGGCTTCCCGCTCCTGATCAGGGACAGAGAACGCATCTAACGCAGCAGCCCGCAAAAGACAAGCAGCCCGACGGACGGAGCAGCCAAGGCTCTGGAGAGGAGCCCGCGCAGCAAACCTTGTGGCCCATGCGCACGAGCAGGGCCTCCACCTGGAGGACGCGGAGGCCCCGTCTCCCAGCACACGGCAGCGGCCAGGGCGGGAGCAAAGGGCCTCTGGGTCCCTGCTGGCGGAGTCGTCAATCGCGGTGACTGGAGAGTGCAACGTGGCAGCATCTGCTGGACTGAGGAGGCTCCTGCTTTGGAGCCCGCACGCCACAGCTCGCTGCTGCCCATTCCTGTCCCGGCGCGCCCCCTGGAGGAACTCATGCGCACCTGCGCCCGCACAGGCGCCATTCCCAGGGATTGGAAGCAATCTCAGGGATTGTCCGCAGGGCAATGTCTTGTGATGAATTACATCATGTTCACAAATTACATACTCCAGCAGTTAGCATTAGCTATGTCTATATCAACGTTGGCAGATCCTGAATCAGAATAGTAAGTGAACAATAGATGTACTTTTGTGATTCATTATTTTAAACCTCAGAACAATGCTATGTTGTCTATGAAACATACTTTCATAGTTAAGGTCTAAGGTGAAGGATAGCAGGGGTAAACACCAATTGAGATTAGAGGATGGAAGGATAGGAATTAACTGGTTAGAGGGAACCTTCAGCTGTGCCTATAAATTATTATCTCTTACAAACTTCTGAAGCAAAGATTGCAAAGAATTAGCCCGTATCCAACTTGAGTAACGATTAATTAGGTCACTGGATTATGTTTCACAGCATATTGTGTATGTGTAGAATGTTTTCTAGTTGAAAGACAGTGATAACAGTGTAAATGACTCATTTCAATCAGTTAGAGAAGTCACAGTGAATCCACAGGGTGGAACGCAGTGCCTCTTCTAAAAATCACCATATCAAAGAACGTAGGGATACAGGGAAGAGGCTCAAGATACACTTGCTGTGAAAGGAGAGGTCAGAAAACGATGGTATTGGTGAGGGACATGGTTTTGTCAGATTGTTATCCTTCTCTATACCTGAGGAGTGCCACCTGAGGTGTCCTGCGTGTTTCTTCTATAGTGTATACCAATTTTACAATGATAATGTAGTCCTTTTAGTCAAAAAAGTAAACTATCTAATGTATATTTTGTGCAAGTAACATATCAAAATACACTTTGTGATTACCAACAGCAGTGTTCAATTTGAGAAAACTATATCATAGCTCACAAGCCATAGGAACACAGGTGGCGGGCCAGGTGTGGGCCACCAGTCACAGTGTGCAGCTCTCAACACACCAAACAGAAGACAAAGGATGTCCGAGTGAATTCGCAAAGCGAACTAAACAAATACCGCGCGTGAGGACTGCACGCTGCCGACCGCTGGTGTACGTAGGTTCAAGTGAAAGGCGGGACGGGAGTTGCAGAGGCCTGTGCGTGTGCGTGTGACCCGCTGGGCGCTTGGCTTCCCCAGCTCCTGCTTGTCCTCGCCGCCCCTCCCTTTCTCTGCTGAGGAAGATGATTCCTGTCACTTCTCACCCTGGGAAGTGTCGCTGTGGCCCACACAGACACAGCGTGGCCCTGGCGGGCTACAGGATCGGGCGTGGCTCTTCAGCTCCAGGCTGCCGGGCCCTGTCCTCGCCTGCCTGGCGTGGCTCTCTCTCTCCCTGTGCTGACGGCGCCAGGGCTGGAGCACGAGAGGGAACGGGCTGCTGCCTTCCCACATTCCCGTCTAGCAAAGAAATAATCCAAACACAGCCAAAGGGAGGAGGTGGCGAATTCTGCTCTCCACGTGAAAACCTTCTGTTTTTTGACAGAACTGTAGATCACCAAACACTTGGGGCCGAGCGGGAGCGACAGTTGATTCCATAGTCGATCCTTCGTCCCCACTGTCACTATGTCTCCCGAGATGTAGCCCGATGGTCCCAGATCCAGTCCTTAGGGTTCACCCCGTTGTTCAGGTTGGCCCTTCTGCCTTCTGCCGCGGGAGGACACTGGCAGGGGGGACCGGGAGGGGGGAAGGAGGGGCGGGGGCGTAGCACACAGGCGCCAGGCCCTGACCCCATCAGCCCCTCCACCCCCAGCACCTGGCGCCTCCCAGGAGGTCCCCACCTCGGCCTTCTGGTCTACAGGGCGGCCGTCACTGCCACTGCTCCAGCCACCAGGGCTCCCCAGTCAGTGGCCGCCTGCCCTGAGGCTGATGCCTCTCAGACTCCCTTCCTGTCACTTTCGCCGGCCTCGGGTGGGGGAGGTGGAGGTAAGTTCCTGTTCTGTTGTTTCTCTGTTTTCAAAGGTAACGACTCATCCACACAGAAAAGCAGATACACGTCAAGGACAACGCGAAACTAACAAAGTCATTTGTAAGTGCACAGCCATACACAGGCAATGCGTTCCTTTCCCGTTGCTGCTCTAACAAATTACCGCACACCTGTGGTTTAAAATGACACCGTTTATTCTGTCACTGTGCTCAAGGTCAGAAGTGTGAGACCCGCCACCCTGGGTGACAGGCAAGGCGTGGGCAGGGTGGCGCTCCCTTCTGGAGCTCTGAGGAACAGCTGGCTCCTTGCCACTCCTGTGCCAGGGCCAGTCCTGCATCTGCTGGGCCAGCAGTTTAGTGTCTTCTCATGTCTCTCTGCCTCTGCTTCCGCCACTTCATTGCCTTCGCCAAGCTGCCTCCCCTCACAAGCGCCCTCGTGCTGCCTGGGACCGGCCCGGACCATATAGGCCGCCTTTCCGTGTCAGGATCCTCAAGTTAATCACATCTGCAAAGGCTCTTCTGCCACCTAAGTTAACCTGTCCACATGTCCCTTCTCCCCTCCTTCTTCTCCCTCCTCCTTCCTCCTCTCCCTCCTTCCCTTCCTCCCTCCTTGCCTCCCTTTCCCCTTCCTTTCTTCCCTTCTTCCTTTCCTCCCTCCTCCTGTCCCTCCTTCCATCCCTCCTTCCTTCCCTCCCACGTCCTCTCCCTCCCTCCTTCCTCCTTTCCTTGCTTCCCTCCCTCCCTCTTTTTCCTTTCTCCATCTCTCCCTTTTCATTTTGCTTTTTTGATGAAACAAGATTATGCTCATCACATAGTTTTGAAATGTTTCTTAGCTATATTGGGGACATTCTCCTTAATTATTCTTCAACATAGTGTTGAGTCGCTGTATGATTCTGATTATGAGGATAGAAAATAGGTTTGTGGACATAGCCTCTACATGTGGTTTTAGGATCTTTGCTTTGAGTCCCAGTTGTCATCTGACTTACAAAGTTCATTGGGTGAACTTTGCACTTAAATCTTTGTACACTTTTCTGCTCATTTGCTTGGGATAAATTCCTTATTGTGGAAAACACTCTAAGCCAAAGATTGCAGTGGAATTTTGGCTAACATTTACTCCTAAGTGCTGGCTAGCTGACATCATTTACCTTTTTGGCAGCGTAATTTCTTCCAGGAGCTCCAGTGGAAGCTATTCCCAATCTTAGCGAGCCAATTTCTCACAAATTAGGAATGATTTTACACATCCTGCTGGTCTTACCCCTGTGCATCATGTCCCAACAGGCCTCTAAGCTGAGACTCAACTAGAAGGAGACTGTTTCCCATGAATTAGTGTCTCTCCTAATGTGTTGGTTGTCAGTGGCTTTCACAACCAAAGAGGTGGTGCCACTTCTGCTAACACCTGCACTTACATTTTACCTTTGCTTTAAGAAATGTCATCGCCTCCAGGCGGTATTGGGAGATTCCATTTCAGGGGGGGAGCAGAGAGGACGTGATTAGGAGGCAGGGGACTCAGATGGATCTTGAAGTGCACTCTGAAGGTCGTCTGAAGACCCCGTAGTAAACACCCCCCCTTCCAAGGCTACACATGATGACGGAAGGGAACCAGGACCGTTCTGTGTGGCCACATAGAATGGGCGCTGCCACGGCATTTGTGACCTAGCCACATGGAACCTAGGTGAGGGCAGTGGCAACAACGGAATGTGGGGACCCGGTGCAAGGCCGAGGGAAGGGCCTCGGTGTGGCTGAGGTCTCAGGCAGTCTAGACAGGTATCGGGGACAAAGAGCCAGGCAGGGCTTCTGAGAGGAGCGGCGTCCACGCTGGGCCAGCTGCCCAGTGACGTGGTGCTGCTCCCGACTCGACGCATCACTCTGACACCGTTTCACAGGTTAGTAGAGGCTCAGCCCTTGTTTGTTGTATCTTTATTGTTGTGAGGTAAAATGTACATGACACGAATTACACGTACTTTAGGTGTGTTGTTCATAGTGTTAGGTCCGTTCTCCTTGCTGTGCAGCCAGCCCGTGTCAGGACGCTTCTGGTCTCACAGAACTGGAACTGACCCAGCAGACAGCAGCGCTCCCCGCCTTCCCCGGCACCCCAGGCTGCTTTCCCCCTCGGCCAGTCTCACTCCTCTGGGAGCCTCACACACGTGGAATTACACAGGACTTGTCCCCTTGTGACTGGCTTATTTCAGGACACAATGTCCTCAAGGTTCGTTGTGTTGCAGCATGCTCCAGATTTTCCTTCCTTTCAAAGGCTAAATAACAGCCCGTCGTAGGGCTAGAGCACATTTTGTTTGTCAGTTCGTCCATCTGTGGCCATTTGGGTTAGCGCCCGCCCTTTGGCCCTTGCAAAGGATGCTGCTGTGAGTATCTCTTTGAGTCCCTGCTTTCGCTTCTTTTGCGTGTATACCCAGATGCTGAGTTGTCAGATCTGGTGGTCATTTTATTTTTAGTTTTGTGAGGAACTGCCATATTGTTTTCCCCATCGGCCGTGCCAGGTTGCAGTCCCAGCAGCAATGTGCGGGGTTCAGCTCAGCACTTCCTCACCACACTCGTCACTTTCTGGGGTGTTTGTTAAATAGTAGCCACCCTAATGGCTTTGAGGTTATACATTTAGATTATCACTTAGTTTCTTGATTGCATCCATTGTCTCTGACAGCTTTTTGTTCTAGTCTGTTCCCTGCTGCAGTGGGGAGCGCCTCTCAGTCAAACAGAGGCCACCTGGGCTGATGGTCTCCCCATTCCCACACCTCTGAATAGCTTTGCTCGCCTCGGTGGCTTGTCCGCCTAGTTGCACGTGGGCACCACCCAGGGAGCTGTGAGAATATCTGTGCCGCGTCCACATCCCCTGAGCGTGTGACTCAGTGTTTCGGGAAAGGCGCCCAGTGTGCCAGGGTCCCGAATCCGTACCCTAGCTTGCCCTCCTCCCTCAGCTCAGAGGACGGGGCCCTTCCCTTCCCGAATGACTCCTACTACAGGCCTTAACCGCACTTGCTCCCGCCTCACCCACAAATGCTGTGCTGAGAGGATGGAGTGTGTGACCGGCTGTCTGGCTCCACCACCTGCTCCCTGTGTTACTTGAGACAAGTTACTTAACCTCTCTGGCCTCAGTCCTTTCAACTCTAAGATGGGGATAAGAGTACTGCGCACTTGGAAGGGTTGTTTGCGGCATGAAATGGTGTAGACGAACACGAAACCCATAGAAGATTGGGTCTCAAAGTGTGATCTGCAGACCCCCAAGTGTCTCCAAGATTCCTTTGGGGTGTGTAGTGTGTGGGTGGGGTCCCCAAGGTCAAAATGATTTTCACAATATCAAGTTTTGTAGCTTTTTCACTCTCCTCCTCTCCTGAGTGTGCAGTGGACCTTTGTAGAGGCTCCCTGTCATTTGCTGTCAAATGATCAAATGCAGAAGTAGGTGTGTCTCCTGGTACCTTCTATTGAGCCAACATAAAAGCGAATTACAGAATGCTAAATGCAGTGCACTTCTTGGTAGGGGTGAAGGGAATTTTCCTACTGCCACCCAAAGTTTTCATAATTTGAGTCTATAAAATACACAGCAGGTGAACAGGAGCAAAAGCATACTAATTTGTTATTAGCCAGGCATGGTAGCGCATGCCAGTATTCCAAGCTACTCGGGAGGCTGAGGCAGGAGGATTGCTTAAGTCCACGAGTTTGAGGTTGCTGTGAGCTAGGCTGATGCCATGGCACTCTAGCCTGGGCACCAGAATGAGACTCTGTCTCCAAAAGAAAAAAGAAAGAAACAAAATAGGTAATAGTAGTATTGAATTTTATCCACAAAATAAATAAATCGCCATGCTGATCTCAGTACTTGAATAAATAAGTAAATGGGGGAGAACTGACAACTCTTCCTTACAAAGAAATTCCAACCAATAAGTATAGAAGAAAAAAGAGACACAAAATCACAATTAGAATACTACGGTAACAGTTGTTGCAGGCAGAATCCACTGATGGATACTAAAATCAGTGGGGGAAAGGTGGAGGACAAAGAATTTGTATAGTTTCCAAGTAATTCCCCCATAATATGTAAGAAAGAGAATGATCAAGTAAAAAGAAAGATAACTTTACTCTGGTGAAATCAGCAGGTATTCCCTTAACCAAGAGATCAAGGTCAACATCACCAGTAAGAAGACATATAGGCTTCATGAGCCCCTTGGTGTGATGCACTGGGAAGACACAGTATTATTTCTTTCTTTCTTTCTTTCTTTTTTAAGTTTAGGCTGGCCTTTATTTTTTAATTTTTTCTTATTTCAGCATATTATGGGGGTACAAATGTTAAGATTACGTATATTGCCCATGTCTCCCCTCCCACAGTATCATTTCATAGTAGCATTTTGATACCAAAATTCATAACCTCTTTTCAGTCATGCAACAACATCTACCAAGTCAAAATTGATGGACCTTTTAAAAAACATCTGCTAGTATTCTTTGTAAGTGTCAAGGTGATGAAAGACAATGAAATACTGAGGAACCGTCATAGATTGTAGGAGACTAAGGAGATATAACAACTAATAACAACGTGGGGGCCAGGTAAGGTGGCTCATGCCTCTAATCCCAGCACTCAGGGAGGCCACGTTGGGAGGATCACTTGAGGTCAAGAGTTCAAGACCAGCTTGAGCAAGAGGGAGACCCCGTCTAACAAAAGATTGAAAGATCACCTGGGTGGGGTGGCACACGCCTGTAGTCCCAGCTACTCAGGATGCTGAGGCAGGAGGATCGCTTGAACCCATGAGTTTGTGGTTGCTGTGAGCTATGATCACACCACTGCATTCTAGCCTGGATGACAGAGCAAAAAAACAATGTGAGATCCTGGACTGGTTTCTTGACCAGAGAAAGGAAGGGTATTAATGGGGAAAATGGTGCAATTGAAATAAGAGCTTCCAGGTTTTGCTAATAGTACCATGGTTATGTAAGATCATAACATGAGGAGTAGCTGGATGAAGGGTACAGAAGAATTCTCAATATTATTTTGCAATATTTTTTGTCAGTCTAAAAGTACTTGTTTTTTTAAAAAAGGTAAAAATCAAGATTGTTCTAACCTTTCAAATGAAAATTCTAGGTTGAGATGTTAAAACCTTGCAAGTGGCTGGCCTACCAAAGTCAACCTCAATGGCATGAGAGCAGATAGGATGTAGCTGGCAATAGAAACTTCGGACTGGTGGGTTTTGGGGCACCCGGAAATATAAGGCTTTGGACTATGAGGACCCCTCATCTGGGTCAGTCAGTCCACAAATGTCCATACTGGCCTGGGTTTCTCACCTGGTGGGTTGTTCTTCTGGCTTGGGGTGACAGAGATTAGGAGTGGAGTATCTCAAAGGCAAGCTGGAGAGGTACCAACAATGATGACAGAGACCAGAGGGAAGCTTTCACTTGAGGAGGGGAAGAGGCAGGGATGAGCAACTGCATGGCATTCAAGAAAGCCAAGGCTAGGGCCAATGCTCTCTCTGGGCATGCCACCATACCTAGTGGAAAATGAGTATTTTCCCACCCAGAGATGACATTCCAAAATACTGCCTTACAAACTTTTATGCCTATGTAAGTAGCTGTCTATTAAAAAGAAAACTGGGGTCTGACAGTTACAAATACACACACACACACACACACACACACAAACACACCCATATGCTTCCTTCAGAACATAATGACATACATATTATTATACATTCTTTTGCATCCGTTTCCCTACTGAACATACAGTGAGGATTTCCTGTCATTACAATGTTTTTGAAGAATTCATTGTAAACGGTTGAAAAATATGCTCTGTCAGGTGGCATTAGGAAATTTACTTAAGCATGGATATTGATCCACATACTACTGGTCTCCGATTTCTCTTACCCCTAGTATCAATCACACTGCTTGTGATCATCATTGCCCAGGCCCTTTGATCACACTGTCTGATTTGTCCCCTAGAATTGATTCCAAGAGGTGGGAGATTGGGTTGGAAGACACCCATGTTTTTATTGCTCGATAGTCACTAACAAGTACATTTCTCTGCTTGTATCTTTGTATGTGCCACCCTTTTTTTTGTAAGTAAAAAAGTAATAGTCTTTAACCTGAAAACAGAAAAAGAAAAATCATTAGTAACCCCAGTATTCAGATGTATCTTGTTTTGTATCTTCCCAGCACATGTTATTAGCAAAAATCAGATTATATTACTGTATATACTTATGGTTTTGTTACCTGCATTTTAGATTCAGGAAGTGAAATACTGCATACCTTAAACTAAGTAGTGGCTACATGGGTATTTGCCCCGTCATAATTCATTGAGCCGCTCACGTAGACGTTCTATACTTTCCTATATGTATGTGATTCTTCACAATACAAATAGCTTTAAAAAGTTATAATCCCTCGAACACAGTTGGAAATTTCTTAGTAATTTAGCATACAGCCTTCCAATTCAACTCGTATCTGTGATGTATTGTGCATCCTATTTTGTAACATGCTGTTGATACTTGATATACTGTGAAAAAAGTATATCAAAGTATCTTCCTTTGGTCATATATAATGTTAACTAGAATGGTTATTATAAAAAAGACTAAAAATAACAAATGTTGGAGAAGAAACTGGAACCTTCATACACTGCTGATGGCCATGTAAAATGGTGTAGCCACTGGGGAAACAGTTTAGCAATTTTGAAGAAGTTAAATACACACTTACCATGTGAAGCACCAACTCCACACCTAGGTATTCCATAAGAGAAACAGGAGCATATATCCACACAAAGTTTTATATACAAATGTTCATCGCAGCATTATTCATAATAACCATTCCATGGAACCAACTGAAACATCAAAAAACTGGTGAATAGATAAACAAACGGTGGTATATCTATCTATACAGCAGAATACAATTCAGCAATGAAATGGGACAAACTTCTCATACATGTTATAACATGCATGAACCTTGAAAACGTGCCAAGTGAAAAGAGCCAACCACAAAATATTACATACTGTATGATCCTACTTACATTTTTATGTCGGCATATAGCTCCACTGCATTGATATAGCATAAATTATCTAACCGAGCCCTACTGTTGGACTTGATGTTGTTTCCCATTTTTGAATATTACAAACAGTGCTGTGATGAAAATCTTTGTAGCTATATATTTCTGGCCAGTCTTAATTATATCCTTGGGCCAATGCCCAGAAGTGAAACAGCCTGTTTGAAGGTCTGTGCATTTTAAGGCTTTGGTAAGTACTGCCAAATGGCCCTTCTGAAGGCTTGCGAAAGGCTGTACTCCTGTCAGCAAAGCAGCAGGGACAACTGTCTCCTTTCTCAAATATAGGAATTCCCTGCTGGTTCTGCTCACCCATGGGGGTGCTGTCCCAGGCCCAAGGGTCCCAACCTCACCATGTCTTGTGTCGTTGCAGTTACCCTGGGCACGCTGCCACCATGACTCTGCTCATCAATGGCCCCAATCACCAAGTGTCTGGTTTCACTATCGGCATCCTAGGATGGATCCTCTGTACAACTTCCATGGGCCTTGTGGAGTGGCGAGTGTGGCACATGGACGACCCCACGTTCTTCCCCACTGGTGTTGCCTGTGTGGGAATGTGGAGAGTCTGCATCTACCATCATGACACCAACACCAGCATAGCCAAAGTTTGTCATCTGTACACCTACGATGATGACTTTCTTCCGTTTGAGATTCGTAGTGCTCAACACCTCCTGCTGATTGCCAGCATTCTAGGGCTCCTGGGGAGAGTCTTCAGCATCTTTGCACTTAGGAATGTATACATGGGAATCCCTCAGAAGCATGCCTGCAATCCATTCCTTCTTTCGGGGATGCTGAATTTAATTGCTGCTCTCTGTATCACACTTGCCGTGCTCCAGAATTACTACTCTATCAAAAATTTACAGGGGATTGCCTTCCCGCCATCTTTCCAAGTGCCTTTCAGGCCAGATACCCAGGAAAGCGGGAATGCCGCTTTAGTGGCAAGTATAGCTGCCTTCCTGATGCTCTTAAGTGGGTTGTTTTATCTCTGCTACAAATCTCCACTGGAGAGCAAAGGGTACCCTGCAGTTTGAGAAACAGGAATTTGCTGGTTGTGTGGGCTTTGAAATCCAAGAGTTTATGGGAAGTATTACCAGGATGCTCTACCAAATATTTCCAGGGACTCAAGACCATGGCAAAGGTAGTTTGGGACACAAAGTAGCCAACTGTTTCCCTCTCTTACATTGTGTATCTAAATGTGGTTCATTGATTGGTTAGCTGAATTTAGAATTTTCAATAAAAATGTATCTTGCCCACCAGCCCATTGGTCTTTTTGGGTGGGGACTTTAATTACTGCTGCCTAAAGCAAATAATCAATACTATAAACCTAGTGCATGGGAATAAGAGTTTCTGAGTACATTTACCTCTCACATCTCTGAAACTTTTGCTGAAAATGATAATGGACTTAACTTCCTGTGTCATGGTAATAACACCTCCTTACCATATAAAGTTTTCCAAAATGTGCAAAAGTAGAGAAAATGGTATAGGAAATCTCCACACCTATCACCACACTGAACAATCATCAAGATTTTGCCATTTCAGCTCTCTCCCTTCTTTTTCCCTTTTAATCTATTTTTCTAAGTATTTTAAAGCAAACCCCAGACACCATGTTCCTTCGTGCCCATATACTTCAATATTACTCTCTAAAAAGTGGATATTTTCCTGCATTACCATATTATACTTCAAAAAATTAACAATGGTTCCTTGTTTTCATCAAATAGCCAGAGTTTTTAGAAACCACAAAACTAAGTCTGTAGTTTTATTTGTTCCACATAAGGTGCTCACTCTGCTTAAGTCTAAAATATACCATAACTCACACATACACATAACTCCCTCTGCCCTTTTTTCAATGATTTTGATTTGCTGTAAAAGGCGGTCATTTATCCTGTTATTTAACTTGTTACCTCTAGAGGTTTTACTAGATTCGAGGTCAGCTCTTTGAGGACGAGTATTGTTTCATAGGTGCTGCTGTGTACTTTATACTGACTGCGTTAGCCAGGTGGCACATGGTAATTGTCTCTTTTAGTGATGCTAAGATTGATCAGAGGATCTATGAGGGAAAAGCTTGACCCCTCCTGTAAATTTCCTCACCAAACTTCCACCTAAACCTAATGGTTTCATCTATTGATCATCCTTGTTTGAATCAATTATCACACAAAGGATTGCAAGTGGAGACTTTCTAATGTGAACATTCTTCCCAGATTTATCAGCTAGGATGCCTTTGTAGAGTTTTCCCTTGCCGGGTATGGTGGTGTGCACCTATAGTCCCAGCTATTTGGGAGGCTGAGGCAGGAGGAGCGCTTGAGCCCAGGAGTTTGAGACTAGCCTGGCTGAGACCCCCATCTCTAAAGAAAAACAGAGAGAGAGAGGAGAGAAAGAGTTTTCCCACATCAATTATGGCTATTTGATTACTCTAAAATTCAGTGCATACAAAAAAGGTGGGGCAAATGCTTCCATCTTTCTAACTGTTCATTTCTAGAGTAAAGAGGGAAGAATACTCTAGTTACATTGTAGTGTTGACCAATTCATTGGTTGTTTTGTCTTTGATATTTTTTTCTTTTTATTCTTTCGGTATCAAATCAATTCTTGACTCTGAACTCATTAAATTGTTTTTGTGTTTTTACGAAGGAAAATTTCAAACGCATTGAAAAGTAGAGAGACTGTTGTCTTAGCTTCAATAATTATTAATATATGACCCATCATATTTCATCCTACCCTTACTGCCTGCCCTGACCCCAGCCTTGGATTATTTTGAATAAATCCCTGGCAATATATTATTTTATTCATAAATACTCCAATATGTATCTCTAAAAGATAAGGACTTCTTCTTTTTATTTTATATTTTCCCCACCCCTCTAGCCCCTCTTCTTAACATAATCACATTGCCACTATCACACCAAAAAGATGATAATTTCTTACTATATTCCAATACACAGTCAATCTTCAAATTCCCTAATTGTCTCATAAATGTGTATTAACAGTAACTTGTGGGTTTCTATATGTTCAAAATGTTTTGCTAAATTGCATTCAGTATTCCTCTTTTTATGATCAAGTTGTTCCATCTTTGGAAGTGGAGCCACAGGAACACCTGCCCATTGGACATGTCCAAATTGTTTTTTTTTTAAGATTCAAACCCTTGACGTCAATCAAAACGCACTATTAATATTTACCTCAAACAACTCTTCACTTTATCACTGAAATTCATTCTATGAAAATGATATTCCTAAAAAACAAAATAGTACAAGAAGGACAACCTATCAATAATATAATTAATAAATATGCTCATCAAGGGTTGAGAGAGATATTCAAATTAAAGCATATTTATTTACTCTGCATCTAATTATCTTTTATACAAGTGGTTCTTAACCTCATGGAAATTCTCCTCACAATAATGCCAATAGACACATAAAATTAAGCACAGGTTCACAACCCTCTTAAAACTTATTCATGGACCACATTTTCAAAATAAGTAACAATTTCCAAACGTTTATTCGTTTTTTTTCATTTATAGGCTAGAAACTCCCTCATCAATAATCTTCAACTTATTTTTAATTTTTGAGATAGAAATGTTGAGTGGGTTTATTCTATGTGAGATGTATACCCACCCCACTTCCAGCTGTTTGTTATCAGAAGGCAGTCCCTTCACTAAGTCTTTGAGAAAACCATTAATGAGGATCATCTGAATCCTTGGAAAGCTCTGTCCTTGCTCTACTGGTGAGGTTTGTGCTCATGTTTATGGATAGCCTGGGGCTTTGTTAGCTGAGAACAGAAAAACTGGCCTATTCTAGGAGGAACTGAGGTGCGGGCCTTTGAGTGCGGCCAGAAAGCCTGCCTGACCCACCACAGGTCACAAGCTGACAGAGGAGCA